ATAAAAAATGGCCATTTCTGTACTATAAGCAATTTTTTGTACGAGGTGTTTGTTTGTATATCACAGAAACCTCTTTGAATATTATTAGCTCTCTTCCAAACAAACAAATAAGATTTCAAAACATGATGTTTTCTATTCTCGTAACTCACGGATGTACATTTGCTCTTATTCATGTCCTAGTGAGCGCTCATACTGACTACTACCATAGAGGTAACTCTAAGACTAGAAGGTCCCGAAGAAACGTGTTCAACTTTTTGGCTCAGCTCTGGTACTCTCTTCGGTCTCAAGCTAATCGATTCACCCCTCGAAACATAGGAAAATCCACTAACCTCTCATTTTATCTGTCAAACTTTCATAGCGAATCAAAACAAACATTGTGTAGTACTAGCATTTCGACTAGAAAGGGGTAATCGTTTGCTTGGGACCAATAGGCTAGTGAAGTAGTGAGCCAATTTAAAATCGTTAATTTCGTATTGATTGTTGCTACTACTCTTTATCTTAACGGTAATCACTCACGCATTGCTTCCTCCAATGTCGGTCTTTGCTGTCTGTAACCTCTATCCGCTACCTATTGTGGGCGGTTTTGCTATGGCGGGAAGCCTCCTGGTAACTTCCTACTAGTCACGCCTTCGGTTCGTTGTTACGCAAGACACCATGGGCCGTGCTCGGCTGACCACCTCATCCACTCCGTTTTAACTCTAATTGAAAACATTCGCAATCGTTACGTCTCACTTACACCTCGTGCAATCGAGTGACGTCAAATCTGCAGTGGAAGAAGCGAAGCGTTGTTTCTTCTCTCTCCAACTGCTTTTGGCTGACGATCCGTCTGTCCATCGATTTTCCTTCCAACTCCGGCTATCTGCTTTTATCCACCTTGCCTCACTTTGGCTATCCTACTGGGCGCATGTTGGCACTGGGTCGCTGGGGTTCTTGCCGCGGATCTCCGATAATCGACACCTGACCCACTGTGGGTTGGCTGTTTCAGAATCGTTCAGACAGATCCTCTTTTTCCGTCCTTCGGTATTTGATGGTAGGTCTCAATGGATTGTTCGTAGCACATTACGCCGTACTGGAGTTCTGGGGTGTGTCCCCCGCCACCACTGGCCAGTGTTGGCAGGGGGGGGGGCACCCCTCACCATCCCTCTCCAAAGGGGGAGTTTGGTAAAAAGAGATGAAAAAACCGATTTGTACCTTCCTTAAAAGTTGTCCTAGCTCGCTATCTACTTTCTATATGCAATTTTAACACTGCCTTACTCTAACGGAACTATCAACTCTAGACTTTCATCTCCTCCATCTATCGTATGAAAATTACCACTTTAGTCTGTTATTTGAAATTAGCATCTTCAACTATATTTATTTTTGTTCATATAGTTGTCAAATCAAACAAAAATATTCACGTTTATTTTCAACGTGATTATTTTTAAAATAAACCTAACATTTTTATTTTTATCATTGATTTCCCATGACTTCTAACATGGAATACGTTGAAATCAACCTAGTTTATTTTTGTTGCTAAAAAAAACTGAGTTTACGTTTAAATTAACCTCAAAAAAATTGTTTCGACGATAGAGTTTAGCGCGAAACAGACGAAGTAATTACTTTTTTGGTAATGAGGGCTGTCATTAGTCTAAATGCGATTAGGCTGAAGGATCTGAATAGGGTAGTTTATTTTCCCTGATTATTCTGAATTTTCCTTGATGCAACTCTTTGCAAGATTTCTGTGTTTTTTTTTATCAAATTGACTTGGAATGGTTTGGACATATTTTCAGAGTTCTTTTCAGAATTTACTAAGAATAATCATAGCCTTGGGATTTTTTCAAGGATTACTTCCAGAATTCTCTCCAGAAAAAACTTGGAGCCACAATTCTGTTTGAAATATTAATAATTCTCTCAAAAAATCACCTCAACTTCTGCCCCTAGTTCCCTTTAAAAATCACTTGGAATATTCTAAAGAATTTTCTTGCTATACCCTTCAAAATCATCTTTGAATTCTCCTTAAAATTAACTTGGAATTCTCCTCAGTAGCACAAGTTTGTAGATTTTACAAGTTCTAGATTATGTTAAGAGCTATGTAGACGTCCATCCGTCGCCTCATTCGATTAAACATCTAACGATTGAGTACTGTCCTGGCCTGGCTTTTCAATTGTGCTAATAGGATGGATTGTACACAGCAAAAAAATAATTTTGATATCACGTCAAAGTGGATGCACTACAATCATGTCGAAAATATGGTGTAATATTACTTGCTAAAAAGGACAAAATTATCATTAATACAATGCATGAACTGACATTACGCTGCTTTTACTGCATTTGTTTATTTATGTGGTCATAAAAATTACATGGAATTTTCGACATGATTGTAGTGCATCCACTTTGATGTGATATCAAAATTATTTTTTTGCTGTGTAGGTTGGACATTTTCTTAAGAGCAGGGTTGTTAACGCAATGAAAATACCCATTGAAGACATTAACGGCGTTCACGTTATTAACGACACTGCTTAAAAGAGATTCATAAAGCGCTACGATGTTTCATAAGTGTCTCGGGAAGGGTGGAATTTTGTAAGTAGGGAGGGTTTTAATAACAAATATTTCCAGTGGACGGGTCTGGGATTGAACCCCCGACCTTCTGCTCTCTGAGCAGTAACTAAGTTTAATACCAAAATTCCTATGGAATTATCCATTGAGAATTCGCTTGAAATTATCAGCAGAATATCTTTGGAATTATTCTCGGAACACCCTCGCAACTCTCCTCAGAAATACCTTTAAATTTTCCCTGAAAATCTTTTGGACTTCCAACTTCCCGTTAAATTTGCTTGAGCCGATAACCTCGGTTATTTATTACGCTGGGAGTTAGTAAAAACATGCCGAGATTCAGCTATTAAACAAAAATGTTGCTGTGATCTCAGCTAACACACAGGAATTTTACTGAAATCTTAATAAAAATTGGTAGAGCATGAATGATTGTAAAAGAATGCTTCGAGAGATTCCTTAGAAATTCATTCGGAAACATCTGTAGGGTAAGTAAATATTGGAGCTATTCTCAGAATAAATTTTTTGCCGACTGGGATTGAACCCAGGCCCTTCGGATTGATAGACCATTACGCTTACCACTACAATGCCGGCGCCGCTAAAGAGAGATAGAAAACTATAATTTCTCTTTATAAGAAAACGATGTGCAACGGAATCATTTTTGCGTTGATTCAACTCTCAGCTTCATTTTTACATGTTGTGAATAGTCTCGCAAAATCAAAATCATTATCATGCATCATATTTTGTTCCAATGTCACGCGTGATATTGAGAGCGAATGAGAGCGGAAAAATATCATTTGATTGATGATCTTGCCAACACAGGTCCGAGATACATGATTTTTTTTCCCCAGGATCTATTTTTTCAAGTTTGAGATTTCTAAAACATGTTCTATATATCTCACACTTTTCACACGGTCTTAGTTCATTTTAGTAAGCAAACTAACTTCTTCCTACTGTGTCACCTTTGTATTTTACCCGCCTAGAACGGCGCCGGTGATTTAGTGGTAAGGGTGACTACTATCTCATCCCAGTATGTGTGGGTTCAATCTCAGGCGAGGTCGTTGGGACTTTTCTAAGGAGAAAAATTCTCTGGTCACGTCTTTTGACTACTCGATTGCCCGGGAATAATATTTATAAATTCTGGAAACCTGTGAATCCCGGGATGTTTATGTTGAGTAGTTTTTAATCCTTTAAAATCGTTATTGACATAGCTATCTGGAAGTAGGATTTGAACCCGTGATTTTCCAAAGGAGACGACTCTATCTACGATGCTGGAATGCAGATGAAGAATTTTCGCATTTCAAGCTTATTTATTCTCGCATATTAGCTTATTGCAGGCTCTCTACGTAATGTTCTAGATGCACTTCCACAGTTATTAGTTCAGAATCTTCGATGCCTGTACCATTTTTGGATTAGTATAATTGTGTGGTAAGTACAATCATAATCGAGAAATTTTCCAACCTGAAAAAATTCCGAACCGGACCGAGAATCGAACCCAGCATGGTGTTGCTTTGTATCTGGGCCTTTAACGACTGAGCTAAAGTAGGCCCCAGATTTGTTTACTAGCATTAGATTTTTCGAGTATCTAGTTTTGAGATTTAAATGTTTCGCAACCTCTGTGACTTTCATCCTAAATAGTGTGGAGAGATTTATTGAAAGTACTTTTTGTTTATGACTGTTTTAACAAGAAGCACTGATAATAAATATGCTAGCAGTGAAGCAAACCGTTTACGTTCCGATAAAATTTTAATTATTTATTGTATAGACGAAAATCAGGTTGAGCGTCGCGAGATGTTCTTCATTCATGGGTAATCGAAAAACCATTTTAATACAATGCTACCGACGTCAGGGAGTCAGCTCTTATACCTGGACCCTACCTATCGACCCATCAACTGAACCGGGGACCAACGGCTTTCCCCCGAAGAAAGGCGTGATCAGAGATGTTATGCCTCAGAACATCCCGGCGGCGCCGACTGGGATTGAACCCAGGCCTGCTGGGGTGAGAGGTAATCACGCCTTCCACTACACCACCAGCGCCGCTCACGCAATGTATTATGCACCCTATAAAATCTGAATCATCGTAAATTGGATTAAACTTCTCTAGCCACCGATGGAAAGCAACGGAGACGACAAAATTGAACCCAATCCAAATATCCGTACGTATAAATCACATATTACGCCATTCGTCCGCCGTGTCGTGCCACGCTACCATATCATGTATAGGAACGCTGTTAATAACCCTTCAAGAAAATACATTCATGCACAACAGTATTGTAGAATGGGGTAAGATGCATCCCGGTGAAACATGACTCTTTTTCGAGAATCTGTTAATGAACATTGCTAGTCCAATGTCTGAACTAGCAATGATGTATAATAAAACCACGAAAATATATTGAGAATATTTTCAAAATTTGCAAAAAGTCATCTTGCCCCGGGGTTGCATCTTACCCCGTATTACCCTACATACATACCTGTATGAGGAAAGCAGACTCTGGAATATGGTCACATTGTTTTCGTCCTTAATTGTGACGATGAACTGGTTCGCATGCACCGTGTTGTACTCGTACAGGCCTGGCTTGAGCTGAAACCGACAGAACTCGCCGGCGAATCCACGCCCAATCGTGCCGGCGCCAATGCCTCCAATCGGGGCACCGTAAATCTGCTTCCCATTCTCGGTGTACCAGTAGTCCATCAGGACCTGGCGGTTTTCGCGTGACACCTTCCAGTAGTATGGAATGTACCTGTAATGGGGGAGGGGGGGGGGGGGGGAGAATTTAAAAATCGAATCAATTTAATGCTCTGCTCGTGCTCGGTGTTTGGTGCGGAAGGTTGGAAAGAGATTAAGAAAAAAAAAATACAACCTTCAACGATCGCTGATGTGTGGAAATTAGGATTAATTAACATTTCTACTTCTACTCTTAATATATTTTTGATCCAAGTATTTTTAATCGAATCACTAGATATCTGGACCGAAAATTTTTGCATCTGGTTTTATATTCGGCATTGCGGATTGCGCAGGAAATTGAGGCTAGGAATAAATCAAATCCGCTCGATACGTTTAAGAGCGTCTATAACAAAGATAGGTTGAACAGATGATGTTTCTAATATATAATACGGCCATCCGCTGTGTTTACAAGGCCTTGTGCGTTGATCGTGCTACAATATGAATATATGATGTCTTTGAACTTCAGTGCCTTCCCGTTTTTGTGTTTGTGCAACACGTGTTTTTTGGTCTCTTTACGTTCTGTAAAATTAATCGAAAACTAATTTCAATTAATGACATTACTAGAGCGTTATTTAGGGACCAGAGAAGGCTTGTAAGGTATTAAAATTTATCCAGAAAGCATTGGTACAAAAGCGGAGCAAAAAAATACTTATAAAGTCATGTTACAAAAAAAAAAAAATGGGAAGGCACTGTAATGTTGTTGTTGTTGGACGCATTTGTCTGTTTATGTTTATTTTCTGAGTGGAGTTTGGATGTAGCATTTTGATTGGGAAATTGAGGTCAAGTGTTGTCCAGAATGTGATCATTCAATATAGTTGAAGGATGGAGAATGATCATTGTGTAAAATTAACACTTGCCGTTTTATGCGATGATTTTTTTTTCCAAAATTGAACCGTGATATTCAAAAGAGTTTGATTGAAGCTGTAAATAATCATTGATGTGACTGTGCTGTCATCTTGCTCATTGGTGAAATTTGTCACTTGTTGTAAAAATCATTAGATTGGCGAATATTATGATAGTTTAAGAAAACCTTGGCACGCTGTCGTTACTGGCATGCATTATAATGATGGCAAGCTCTAACTCGGATTAACTTTTAATACCCTCTCTGGATGGATGATGATTTGCAAAATATTTGCTTAGAATCGAGTTAATTAACTCTGATGTCAACATCAAAGCAGTTGGATTTTCATGATCGGGATTTAATCCGAGGATAATACCGACTGGATAAATATTCATCTCGTAAATCCGAAAAAAATGCTGGTTGGAATATGGATCAATAAACATGGTGAGGTTTTGACAGAATAGACCATAGTATGTCATTGAAAATTTACTCTTTCGTTAACAGTAACGCTAGAGTGCCTGAATTAGAAAAAGAGTGACGAATTGTCAAAATTGGAACAGCTGATTATGTGACGGTGATATGATCCAGCGTTCAAAAACTATAGGCACTCTTGCACTGCCACATCGAGTTTTCTAGGGAGTTAATCTTGGACACTCTTGCAATTTCAGGCATTCAATTTGCATCACCATATTTGCTGCATCTCAGCAAACATGGGGAAGCATTTTTGTTGTTTTATGTTTTCCGGTAGCAGATACTAATCCCCATGAAAATGCGATGTGGCATCAGAGCCCCGGGCTTCTGGATAGTATAAGCTATAGTCATTATATTCATAGTCTGGCGCGGACAATGACGGGAGCCAATTTGACCTGTCATTTGCGGGAGCCAATCGAGCATTACTGTTTCTTTAGCGACCTAGCATGCGTTAAAAGGTGCAAGATGATCGATATTCTTTGCAAATATTTCCTGCTATTCCACTTATGCTTATGCTTATGATACTGCGAAGATAAATAATAATCATGATAAATTGTGTAATACAATAACGGCCTGTATAACCTTAACGGCTTAGAAAACGTCATTCCAGTTGAGTTGTCAAATGGCTGAGATATCGTAAGCTGTGGTGTTTTTTTTTATGTAACAATGTCCAATGGTCTATTGTCAATCAGAGGTTAATATTCCTGTTAACAATTTTACACAGCGGGAATGGACATTTTAAAATGCTTTTAGGTATTTCCCGAACATACACACTTAGGGGTCATCCACATATTATTATGAAAGGAGGAGGAGGGGGAGTGTCTCAACAATTATCTCAGTTGTTTACAATTGGAGGGAGGTGGATTTACGTTTTCTTACATAAAACTTATGCCTTGTTCTGATAACATATTATAATAATTATCGACAAGAAAAATTTCATCAAGATTGTCTTATTTTATGTTATAACTCTCCAGTCCTGAACATAGCATTAAAGTTTTGAAGGATTTAATCTGAACATTCACCCTTTTTATTCCAAAAAGGGGAAAATATAAAACATGAGCATATACAAAATTGGTCAATGTAAACAAATATGCTCCCAACTCTTCATTTAATGGTTAACTTCCTATTCTGAAATTTTACAAAAATGGAGGGCGGGAGTGTCTTACAATGCAAGAGGGGTCCAATAACCCTTAGAAGCTATTTTTTGGTCTTTGAGGTTAACATAAAGGGTGATACGGTCAAAATTTGGTCAAGGGAAAACGCGTGTAAATCGGTGAAATCGTTTATTTAAAAAATCAAATTAAATTTCTTTTTCAAGTTCAATTAGTATAAAATTCAGGAAAAATATTCAGTTAGGCTTCCGCTTTTCCAAATCCGAATTGCCGGGCCTTACGCTTGACCCCTGCCATCAGATTTTGTACAGCCACCTTGTCCACCTTCTTCGCCGCAGAAAGCCAGTTTGCCTTGAACTGCTGCTCGCCCTTAGCAGTTTTTTTGGTCTTCTTTAGGTTCCGCTTGACAATAGCCCAGTATTTCTCAATTGGGCGGAGCTCTGGCGTGTTGGGAGGGTTCTTGTCCTTGGGAACCACCTGCACGTTGTTGGCGGCGTACCACTCCATGGCCTTTTTACCGTAATGGCAGGATGCCAAATCCGGCCAAAACAGTACGGAACAACCGTGTTTCTTCAGGAAAGGCAGCAGACGTTTATTCAAACACTCTTTCACGTAAATTTCTTGCTGCTTTTCAAGCCACAGGTACAGATGGCTTGCCAAACCAGATATTTCTTTGCGAACTTTGACAGTTTCATGTGCTTGAAAACATCTGCTACCTTTCCCCTTCCTTTTGCCGTATAAAACTCCTGTCCCGGAAGCTGCTTGTAGTCGGCTTTGACGTAGGTTTCGTCGTCCATTACCACGTCGTCCATTACTTCGTCAGCATCGTCGTGTACAGCCTCCGGGATCGCGCTTTGGCCGTCGTATTTTGTTTATCATCGCGATTTGGAGTCACTACCTTCTTGTAAGTCGATAGTCCGGCTCGTTTTTTGGCTCGATGCACGGTTGTAGACGATACACCCAGCTTATTTGCGGCATCTCGGAGAGAGAGGTTAGGGTTTCGCTTGAAACTACCGGCAACTCTCTTTGTCGTCTCAGCGGCTTCCGGTTTTCGATTTGCCCCCGATCCAGACTTCCTGGCTGTCGACAAACGTTCCCCAAACACTTTAATTACATTTGTAACGGTTGATTTGGCAACTTTTAGCGATTTTGCCAACTTTGCGTGCGAGTAGCTCGGATTTTCGCGATGCGCGAGCAAAATTTTGATACGCTGCTCTTCTTGCTTGGACGGCATTTTGACAACTGAAGAGTGAATTCCAAAATCAAAATAGAAGCAACATTCTACACACACACACCTTCAAAATGAGGGGTGTTCAGGTTTTTTAAATGCAAAATTGAAAGAAATACGTCAAGTTGATATTGACCAAATTTTGACCGTATCACCCTTTATACAGTTCCATTTAGTTGATTCAGTTATATCAAATATACTATATTAAAAACATAGTTCACTCATAGTTCATATAGGAGACACGCTCTTTAATTCTATCAACATTACGAGGGATGCTCTTTTTTTCCTGATTTGTTTTCCGTCGATCTTGTTTTCCGTACTGAGTACCAATGATACCGACGCCAGGGAGGCAGCTCCCACACCTGGACCCTACACTGAGGCAAAAGAACGTAATAATTCCATAAGAGCCACTTTTGCATGTCAGCCACGAGAAATCGGTATGAATTTCATTGATTTGCCTTATGAAATATTATGTTGACAAAAAATAATAAAACGGAGCAGACTGGAACCAAACCATGGACGTTGATATCATGGAGGCTGTGTGTTGACCAGTCGTCTTTCAACGCTTGGTATAATGAAATGTTTAAAGGCGTATAAGATCTACCACATGTTAGACGCAAATCATTCAGTAGTTACGCTTATGAAATTCATATGTTTCGTTCATAAGTCGAGCCTTATGAAATTATTAAGTTTATTTGCCTCAGTGTACCTGTCTCGACCCATCAATCAACTCATGGACCGGGGACCAACGGCTTTACTTCCCTTCCGTGATCAGATGATATGCATCAGAAAATCCCGGCGGCGCCGACTGGAATCGAAGCTCGGCCCGGTTGGGGTGAGAGGCAATCATTTTTACCACTGCACCAGCAGCGCTGCTCCCGAGGGATGTTTCAAAGCTTTAAGAGAGGTATAAAACAAAACTTGTTTGAACAATTAATTTCGTATTCCCATAAGTAGGGGAAATGGCTCTAATGTTGGCCTATGGATCTAAGATTGGGCCCATGGCTAAAAATCTGCTATTTATCAATTTTATCTAGATGAACGCGTCATTGGGACGTTACTTATTGATATTTTTGGTCGCTATTGAAAATTTAGTCAATTGCTGAATTTATGTATGGGCCCAAATAAGGGGCACTTAGGCCGACATTACATCCATTTTCCCTATCTAAAGCCTTTGCTATGTGCACATGATTTTTCATTGATTGTAATCAAATGCAGGTAAGTTTCTGTCCCCTGGATGAAGTATATTTGGTTATATGGTGATCGATGTTCAAGTGACTTGAAAGCAAACTACAAAGGGTCGGCATCGGCTAGCTTTCAGGGCGTTCAAGTGAATTCAAGTGAATTGAATGTCGATTTAAATA